TATTGCCTTGGTACTAGTTCTGGTCCCTCTGCACGTGGGAGGCGTTTCCAATTGTGTCTTTGTGTGCCACGAATTTTTTAATGATTCCTAAAAATTGTTTCCAAATTACTCATAAATAGATTACAGAGTCGAGAAAGCATGAGCCACTCCAATTTGATGTGGTGTACCAAGTGGCCTTTCTCTGTGCCAAAAGTTTATACCCAAGTACCACCTTATTTAGCCTAGCTTTGGTACAGTTTTCTCTGGTCCTGCACGTGAGCGTTTTCCAATTGTGGCTTTGTGTGCCCAACGATTTGTTAATGAATTCCTAAATAATTGTTTCCAAATTACTAATAAATAGATCAAATGAGCGAGAAGACATGAGGCACTCCAAATTGAGTGTGGTGTACCAAGTTGGCCTTTCTGTGCAAAAAGTTATACCCAAGTACCCACTTATTTAGCCTTTGGTACCAGTTCTGGTCCTGCATGTGGAGCGTTCCATTGTTGCTTTGTTGTCCACAACGATTGTTATTGAATTCCTAAATAATTGTTTCCAAATTACTCAGAAATAGATCAAATGAGCGAGAAGACATGAACCACTCCAAAATGAGTGTGGTGTACCAAGTTGGCCTTTCTGTGCAAAAAGTTATACCCGAGTACCCACTTATTTAGCCTTTGGTACCAGTTCTGGTCCTGCACGTGGAGCGTTTCCAATTGTTCTGTGTGTGCCACGAATTTGTTTGAATTCCTAAATAATTGATTTCCAATTACTCAGAAATAGAGCAAAATAGCGAGAAGACATGAGGCCACTCACACTCCAATGAGTGTGGTGTACCAAGTTGGCCTTTCTGTGCAAAAAGTTATACCCAAGTACCCACTTATTTAGTCTGTGGTACCAATTCTGGTCCTGCACCTGGAGCGTTAGCCATTGTGCTTTCTGTGGCACAAATTTGTTAATGAATTCCTAAATAATTGTTTCAAATTATTCAGAAATAGATCAAATGAGCGAGAAGACATGAGGCACTCCAAATTCAGTGTGGTGTACCAAGTTGGCCTTTCTGTGCAAAAAGTTATACGTAAGTACCCACTTATTTAGCCTTTGGTACCAATTCTTGTCCTGCACCTGGAGCGTTTCCAATTGTGCTTTCTGTGCCACTAATTTGGTAACAAATTCCTAAATACTATTATTTCAGGAAACAAGTAACCATGAGATAACGCAGGTCCATAATGTTCAGGAACTTCCAACTGAGGATATGTTTGAATCTCAATTCACCCAATCAGAATTCATGTCTTTATTGACATTCGGAGAATACATTGTTCACAATTATGACTTCTCACCAAATACTTATACACACCTTTAACCCATGCACTGTGGGAATAAACATCTTTTTTGGGGTATGTATGTTGTTCAATATTATGTGTGTCCTTTCATTCAAATAAATAACATAAATTTATAACTTGGTTACATTTTTTTTTCATGAATATGTACAATTAAATATAGTTTACATATAGTTCATTATTATAATATAATAATTTTAATATTTACCAATTACTGCTTACGGTAATAATTACTATTAACATTATGTTATTGACAAATGTGGCCATTTAATTTCTCATTGTTATTTCATTCGAAGCACCGTTTCACAATTTATTCAAACGTTACATTATAAATTATTTTTATTACTGATCAATGCTAATTAGTTTCGCCATCAATCGTTACATCCAATAATGTGAATGATATAAATTACTAGATTACTATTAATTTTTTGTTCTCTTTTGCTTGTGTATTAATAAATGTTGACTTTTGCTTGTGTACACTACCTTTTTCATATACGGTTTGAACTTGTAATATTCACCATCATGTTGAAAATTATTATATTTTAACAAGGCTGGTAAATTATGAATAAATAACACAACCCAGGTCCCAAAATTATGTTAGAAATCAACAAATGCACCTAACAAAACACAAATGGGATCACCGTTCAATTAAGTGAGGACTAATGTTATTACTTTTGCTCACCACGGTTACCTGAGTTCAACATCGACTTAATCAATTTGTAATGTTCAGTTTGAACAATGATGCTGTATGACCAACAATATATTTCAATTTAATTTGTTTGTTATGATTTCCAGTGTAACAAAAATAATAACCAATTCCAAAACCTAATTTCTTTCAACAACCATGCCAAAAACTCCATAGTCATGCCTCAAATTCCCCATCAATACCATACAAACTTCATTTCAAATAACTTTATTTCATGTTCATCCCACTTCATTTGAACTCCCTGGTTCTGTCATAAACCATTACAGACAACTAAAATCAAATCATGACAATTCAAAAAAGGATTCCAATGTTTTCAAAATTCAAACAACTTTTTCAACAAGATTCCAAACATCATAACATTATCTAAAACTTAAATTCCTAATGTAATACAACTTATTCAAGTACTCATTGTTTTCTTCTACCACCTGTAGTATAAGGACTTCTTTTTACGACACTCTTAAGCCGTATTCGGGGTTGCGCTTTCATACGATCATACATTGTGCTTTGTTGCATTTCAAAACCACCTTCAAACACCGGTTTGCTGCTCATGTTGAACCGGTGTACTTTGACAACGATCTTCACTTCCCCACAACGGTTCTTCCACAAAATCTTCATTCTTATCTTCATTTTTTGCTTCAACCAACTTTCTTAAATAGTTAATACTACTTTGCATGTCCGCAATTACCCGTGTTTGTTCTTCTACAACAGAAATTAATTTTTCCTTATCTCCTCTATTTTGCTTCTTTAATGGAATACCAAATTTCTCACAAGCGTCTTTCACCATACCATAACAAAGCTCCTCTTTGGACACACCAACATCAATAACAGCCTGCAATGTCATTAACAATTTTTATTTCATAATAACACAACTCATAAATTACTTTGCAACAACACATTCGTCTAATCAACAACTACTCACTGATCCCTTTGCCAAAGCAGTTTTGATAAACTTATCCCCAATATTCATATCCATCCAGTTCAACAACCTTGGGAATTTTGTTACCCGTGTACTATAAATGGACTTCGATGTCACAAAATGGTGACAAAACCATACCTGCAAATTTTTAATCCATCAACAATGACAATAAAAATGATGAAAACAATAACGAATCATTGTCTTTGATTACCAATTACATAACAAACATGTACCTGCAACAGGTAAGCACATCCTTGAACATGAATATGGCTTTTGCTTGTTTCATTCTTCATTGTTGTTGAAGCACTACACACACTTTCAACAAAGTACTGAAAAACTAAATTGCCCCAATTGTACTTAGCCACACACCCCAACTCCCAAACAAGGTCAAAAATAATTGGAAATACTACTCCACTTCAATTAGGAAGCAAGAACTCTGATATCCCTACCAATAATTGGAAATACTACCTCATTTGATTTACTTCTAAGTAATTTGGGAACAATTTCTTAACATTTTATTAACAAATTCATGCCACATAAAAAAACATTTTGTAAGACTCATGGTACAGGAACAGAACTGGTACCTACGGCAAATTAAGTAGGTACCTGGGTTGAAGTTTTTGCACAGCGAGGCCAACTACGTCCACCACACTAATTTTGGGGTGGCTTGTTTGTTTTCCCTCATTTGATCTACTTCTAAGTAATTTGGGAACAATTTCTTAACATTTTATTAACAAATTCGTGTCACATAAAAATACATTTTGTAAGACTCATGGTTCACCAACATAACTGGTACCAAAGCCGAATTAAGTGGGTAATTGGGTTCAAGTTTTTTCACAGCAAGGCCAACTAGGTCCACCACTCTCATTTTGGGGTGGCTTGTTTTTTTCACAACAAGGCCAACTAGGTCCATGACGACCAATCCAACAAAATTATAAAAACAATGTAAAATTAAGCAAACAACATCTATAAAAATCAATAACACTACAAAATGCAATAGACTTCAATTATATGTCAAATTGTAAAGGATAAACATGAAATGGACAACCACACACACAATATCATTAATTATATCAAAGGACCTTCTAAAATCCCAAGTCATCCCACCACATTTATTTCATCTAATAACTTATCAAATATCTAGATTACGGGTAAAGCACAAAAACTGAAATTTATTCCATAAATATATTCCCACTTTTTCCATAAACATTTTCAGTATCGTCAAAGGAATAATGTTTATGTTCTCATGTCCATAGTATCAATCACCACACAATTTATTTATCCAACAAATACTATTAACAAACCACCTCCATCATACATAAACAACATTCCACCGCCATCCAACAAGTCATATTTTTACAGCTTACAAACAACGTATCAAACATAACCAAAATCATCCACAAACAACATCATACATATATTAAAGCTTCATTCCACTGAAATAAAAAAAAAACGAACCTTGAGTGAACACAACGTGTGCCGGTTGGAAAACCCCTCTTTTTAGTCCGCCGGACCACTACCACTCCGACGACACTCTGGCGATGCTCCGGCGGCACTCCGACGGTGAATGCAAAGGTCCGACACAGGGAGGAAGCAGGTGGGACGAAGCGAGACTCAGAACGCGCCCCTAGTTCGCTGGGCCGGAGGGAAGACGACGTCGTCTTCGGTTCGTTCGCCAACGTCGGAGCTGCGACGGCTGTGAATCGGAACCGGCTGGAGGGATTCAATAGCTCCGAGACGGCCTTCAACGTTGTCCGGCGGCACTCCGGCATGCAGTCCGTCGGACCTATCTCTCTCTCGAACTCCCTTTCTCCAACTCTCTCGGCCTCTCTCTCTAGGTTAGACTTTCTCTCTCTCAACCTTCACGTTTCTCTCGTTCTTCCAAAATGAATTTCAAATTTGAAACGCCCCACTTCAAACCCCTGCCCACTCCCTTTCCACGTCATATTTCGTTTTACTTTTATTTTTCCACGTGGATCACTCTAAAGATTGTAAAAAGAGGTTATTCAAGTATCATTTTCCTAATTATATAGAATAAGATGATAACAAAATACCGAAACCCAGGTTTCTTTAGACAATGAAACTACCAAAATCAGGGGAAAGTTGAACAACAAAATCTTCTCCATGGCGTCGTTTACCACTGTAGCAAATTTCTACACTGAAACTGTGTGCTTCATAATTTAGGTTGTGACTTGCATTCAGTAGTAGTGAGTGGAGTTTGTAGCGGAAAGGGAAAGAAGGGTTTTGGGAAGGGAAGAAGAATGAGCCATTCGGACATGGAGGAGGAAGAGGCCCCAGACGTTATCTGTGAGCTCGAAAACGTTCAAGGCTTAGTAGACGCCCTCACCGCCGTTCGCTGGAAGCGCCACCAGGTGATAATTACCACCTTCTCTCCCACTCCTTCATTTTTTTTCAAACTCACTCCTTAACTGCCTTCCTAGGATGCTGTGTTGGAGTTGTCGGAACACGGCATCGTTTTGATCGTCGAAGAAAGCAGTTGCCTCCAAGCCAAGGTTTATCTCAAACGAGAGGTACCAATTTCTTCATTTGATTCCATTATTATTTATTGTTTTTTTTTCTCGCCATTTCAATGGAGTGTGTGTGGTGTATTTGCAGCTTTTCGTTCGCTACGATTACAAGTCACGAGGACGACCTCGTTTTGGAGTGAGTTTGGGACATTTCGTTGATTGCTTGAACGCCTTTTCACTTCCTGGTCAATCTAGCGTTATTCAGATTCAATATCCAGGTCCTGATATGCAGCTTCTTCTCAAGTGTGTAACTAACTATTCCCTTTCGTTTTTTTTTTCATTCATAATTTGGAATCAATCCTTGAAACTGTGGTGGTTGTTGTTAGCACTATTTCAATGGGTAGAAATGATAACATACATCAAAATGTACACGTTATCATGATTTAGCACATACATGGGTGGGAGAAGAAAGATTACTAAGTTTCTGGTGTAGTGAGAATAATAGTATACATCAATTCTTGTTCCAAGGCTCCTTATATCCCCTCCGACACACAAACAAAGAATGCTCTGCCTTTTTCACTTGTCACGCGCATGGCAACTGAACAAACTTCTATTTCTGCTTGCTATGTTAAATGACCTCGCTTGAAGAAAAGTAGCTAAGCCTCAATCACTGACCAACTTGAGGAATATTACTAACAAATCATGTCAGTGCATTCATGGAAGAAGATGATACAGCCCATTAGTTCTATTTCCTATACATCTCCATCTTGACTTGAATTCTGCCATGTCTTATTAGAACTTAATCCACATTTTACTAACTCCTAGCCAAGTTTTAACTTTCAAAAGCATCATGAATGGAATCATGGTATGTTTGGTGTAAATTTTTGTTTGCAACAAACGAGGCACTCGTGGGTCATGACCATTAGCTTATATATATAGTTAGACATAAGTTTAACCCTGCATAATTTTGAAGATTATAGTCAAGGAATGAGTGTAATTTAACCAGTTGGAATCGGAACAAATGATGAGAGTGATGATAGTTTATTGGGGACTGGAGTGGCATTGGAAAGTTGCCAGGTCATTTGTAGTCTGTGGCCACTAAGGCAGTTCCTACGCAAAAATTTGAAAATAGAAAGCAACCAAACAGAACTTTTGTTTCATTTTCATCCTAATCTTTCTAAAGCCTATCTTAGCAAACTCTGCTATTGTGCTAGTGAAAGATGCTTTAATTGCATCCTACGTGTAAGCAAACAGGTGTCTTGCCAATTAGGGTTTCTATTCTAAAATATGTAATAGTGACAAATCTTGGACGGAAAGGAATGTTGTGGTTAGTGTATGAGCCCCATCAGCATATAGTCCACACACAACACTCTGTTTTAAATATAGGTACGTAAGTCAAATCAGCAAGTTCGGTATGCCTATCAACTGTTGGTGACTGGGAAAAGATTTGGTTGGTTATGGAAATATTTGTGACAGAAAGGAATCTGAATTTAGTTATTGGACAAAAATGAATTCACATAATCAAAGGATAACTTCTACATTTCTTCTTTTTATAATTTTCTCTGTTAAGTATGAACTTCTGGTTGAATCTGTTATTCCATTATGTGATAGCCATAATGATGATTTATTCAATAAGATTCTTGATAGATCAATGAAACATTTTGTAGAGTTTTCTTGGCTTTTTCTTCAATATACNTCACAAGCGTCTTTCACCATACCATAACAAAGCTCCTCTTTGGACACACCAACATCAATAACAGCCTGCAATGTCATTAACAATTTTTATTTCATAATAACACAACTCATAAATTACTTTGCAACAACACATTCGTCTAATCAACAACTACTCACTGATCCCTTTGCCAAAGCAGTTTTGATAAACTTATCCCCAATATTCATATCCATCCAGTTCAACAACCTTGGGAATTTTGTTACCCGTGTACTATAAATGGACTTCGATGTCACAAAATGGTGACAAAACCATACCTGCAAATTTTTAATCCATCAACAATGACAATAAAAATGATGAAAACAATAACGAATCATTGTCTTTGATTACCAATTACATAACAAACATGTACCTGCAACAGGTAAGCACATCCTTGAACATGAATATGGCTTTTGCTTGTTTCATTATTCATTGTTGTTGAAACACTACACACACTTTCAACAAAATACTGAAAAACTAAAATACCCAAATTGTACTTAGCCACACACCCCAACTCCCAAACAAGGTCAAAAATAATTGGAAATACTACTCCACTTCAATTAGGAAGCAAGAACTCTGATATCCCTACCAATAATTGGAAATACTACCTCATTTGATTTACTTCTAAGTAATTTGGGAACAATTTCTTAACATTTTATTAACAAATTCATGCCACATAAAAAAACATTTTGTAAGACTCATGGTACAGGAACAGAACTGGTACCTACGGCAAATTAAGTAGGTACCTGGGTTGAAGTTTTTGCACAGCGAGGCCAACTACGTCCACCACACTAATTTTGGGGTGGCTTGTTTGTTTTCCCTCATTTGATCTACTTCTAAGTAATTTGGGAACAATTTCTTAACATTTTATTAACAAATTCGTGTCACATAAAAATACATTTTGTAAGACTCATGGTTCACCAACATAACTGGTACCAAAGCCGAATTAAGTGGGTAATTGGGTTCAAGTTTTTTCACAGCAAGGCCAACTAGGTCCACCACTCTCATTTTGGGGTGGCTTGTTTTTTTCACAACAAGGCCAACTAGGTCCATGACGACCAATCCAACAAAATTATAAAAACAATGTAAAATTAAGCAAACAACATCTATAAAAATCAATAACACTACAAAATGCAATAGACTTCAATTATATGTCAAATTGTAAAGGATAAACATGAAATGGACAACCACACACACAATATCATTAATTATATCAAAGGACCTTCTAAAATCCCAAGTCATCCCACCACATTTATTTCATCTAATAACTTATCAAATATCTAGATTACGGGTAAAGCACAAAAACTGAAATTTATTCCATAAATATATTCCCACTTTTTCCATAAACATTTTCAGTATCGTCAAAGGAATAATGTTTATGTTCTCATGTTCATAGTATCAATCACCACACATTTAATTCATCCAACAAATACTATTAACAAACCACCTCCATCATACATAAACAACATTCCACCGCCATCCAACAAGTTATATTTTTACAGCTTACTAACAACGTATCATACATAACCAAAATCATCCACAAACAACATCATACATATATTAAAGCTTCATTCCACTGAAATAAAAAAAAAACGAACCTTGAGTGAACACAACGTGTGCCGGTTGGAAAACCCCTCTTTTTAGTCCGCCGGACCACTACCACTCCGACGACACTCTGGCGATGCTCCGGCGGCACTCCGACGGTGAATGCAAAGGTCCGACACAGGGAGGAAGCAGGTGGGACGAAGCGAGACTCAGAACGCGCCCCTAGTTCGCTGGGCCGGAGGGAAGACGACGTCGTCTTCGGTTCGTTCGCCAACGTCGGAGCTGCGACGGCTGTGAATCGGAACCGGCTGGAGGGATTCAATAGCTCCGAGACGGCCTTCAACGTTGTCCGGCGGCACTCCGGCATGCAGTCCGTCGGACCTATCTCTCTCTCGAACTCCCTTTCTCCAACTCTCTCGGCCTCTCTCTCTAGGTTAGACTTTCTCTCTCTCAACCTTCACGTTTCTCTCGTTCTTCCAAAATGAATTTCAAATTTGAAACGCCCCACTTCAAACCCCTGCCCACTCCCTTTCCACGTCATATTTCGTTTTACTTTTATTTTTCCACG